CAGAAATTGCTTGCTAAAAGTATTAAAGATCAAGGAGTTATGATCATAAATCTCTATATATTCCTAAAGAAAAATAAATGTTGAAAAATTCCGATCAATTCGTCGTTTGGGGGTGAATGAAGAGGACGATTTTGAGGGTACAATTAAAGATATAAATAGACGATTTGAAAAGAACTACAAGTACATGAGGTATGGAAAGAAACATCAGAAGAATTCATCAACTTCTAGGATTTAATAATGAGACTGAACTTGGCAAATCCAGAGGACATTTTGGTTAAAGCATCTTTGCTACAAGTAGTTTCTTGTATTCAAGTAACACAGATTTCCTCCGACAGATCTGCTGATGTTGCTTGCTTTTGTGTTTCAGATGTTACTGTTCACACAAGAAGTTCCGAAGCAGCTTTGCTCTTGTATTTGGAGAGGTCAACGGAAGTGGCTTTAAGTTCACCACCGATGCACGAAAGCATCGCTAATAGCTCAATAAATTTAACACTGCAGTAAGTCTGATGGAGTATGTATATTAGTCAAGAAATCTTAGTTTCACGATTTGTCTGCAAATGTTCAAATTGCAAGTTTGCAGTGGCTTTCGAGTGACCGAACTCGCTGAAAAACTGACGATTACGGAAGTAACATTTTGATTTATGTGATACTGATTTGTAGAAAGATCTGAGTGAGAAAATATGAGAAATTAGAAAGACGATGCAGTCTATGCCTTTAGCTGAGCTAGCAACGAGAAAAGGGCTTTACAAGATTCTCTTCCTTCCCATTTGACCAAATTCTGTTTGGTTTAAATAAAACAGCGGCAGAAACAGTTTCAATTCTTCTAGAAGTTTATGAAAAGGAAGCTGCAAGTTGGACAAGATGTACGCGTGGTTTGTCTGATTCAAAATTGGCTAAATGTCAACGTCCAGAATAAGCAGAAATATTCCGATGTGCTCGATGTGATGATACTTCATCATCGCAGAAGAGTGTATGAGTTGGGGAAAGTAGCAGCAATACCTACTAAGGATTTGAATATGAGAAAGTTTGTTCCACCACTGAATTCCAATGATCAAAGAAAGAACGGTCACAATCTACCGCAATTCCTGTTTTCTTAACGTATGTTCGTTAAGGAAGTTCGAAAAATGTAGCCGATATAAATATCAACTCACCTGTATTTAATTTGAAGCACTTCGACACATTGCAGGGTGTCCAGTGGGATGCATTCCAAAAGGAACAAGGTTCGGTCTCACACTTCTTCATGATTTTCGGTATTTTAACACCGGATTCTTCACAAAGCGTGTTGTTTACAAACTTTGTGATATTCCCGGACACAATCGCACACTGGAAGGTACGAATTTGAAAGCCATCTTTACCGCAAGTCTCTGAACAACTTGACCATTTGGTAGCAAACCATCTAAACGAAGTCATTTCGGTAGGCACAATTCCCGATGAAGCGCCCATCTGTGATGTGAAAGCTGTCTCATCTAATTCTGGTATTTCCGTGAAGTCTTCCGCGTTTTCATTTTCAGATATGGTCACCATTCGGTGACCACGAGAGCTGCCGAACATCTGGAACGGCCACAAGTACTGTGCTCGTTATTATAAGTGTAATTATTTTAATTCTGAAAGTGCCTAATTACAAAATGAACAATGTGATGGTGGAATAAAAATTAAATCACTATAAAAAAGTTGTTTTTTCGGATATAGTACAGTAAAATCTCTCATATAGGCCACCTTTAATAAAATTTGGGATTCTTGCGTGAAAATATTTGTAATATAGGATCATTCAATTCTGAAACCTCCCTTAAACAACCACGATCGCTTCAATCATTATCTTTTGGCAACATTACATATTTTCTATTTTTAATAGCGGCCATTAACATAACCAATCATTTCTATAGTTAGAAGGAAATTAAAGATTTAAAATACAGAGTGTTTCTGAAATTAATAGCTAACTTTGGAAGGTATTTATTAGATACAATAGAAAATCGCATAGTGAGTAAAACAGCGTGATTAAGGGACAAAAAATTGTAGGAAAACCAGGCGAAGTTGTAATCTGAAGCCGGCCCTGGGCGTGAATTGGTAACTTATGGAGAAATTGCGATAACAGTTAAGCAACTACTACATCGATGAAAAATGTAAACAGTGACGGTTGACGATGGATTTTCGAGCCACTAAACATTTACTTAATTTTCTTGTTTTTTAATGACCTATCATCTCCTGCAAGCTTCCTTCTTATTTCAGGAACACCCTGTATAATTCCATTAGGCACTTTATTATGTTTTATATTATATTACATATGCGTATATAATTTGTAAATTATATACCACTTCAACTGTAATGAATTTTTGTTATCTTGAAGCACCTAACGGTCATCCCTTTCAAGGGGTTCCCATTTTTATGCAATTTTCAGTAGCAGAGATTGAGAGGCTTCAACGTATCAGATTATCTTTTATACGTTGACTGCTGTTGAGAGGTTTTACCGTTTTACCGTACTGTATCGTCACTCCTAATCCTCGACTACAAAGTTATGTTATTAAATTTCTTTTGTCACATCTTTTATTTCCTAGTAAACACAAAGAATTCTAACATTTGCTTTGACTGTATGCGAAATCGAATGTCATATACGTAACAATTTAAACCAGATTAAGTGCTCTCTTCTTTACGTACATGTACGTTTAGATACATTTGCATTTATGGCAGCGCAAAGTGAGTATGAAATTGAAAAACAGAGTCAAGTTAAATCCCGCACTACAAAGCAATTTCGATGTGAAGGGTTTCTAGATATTCTGCATTGGACATTACATTGCGTTATATACACATACATATATACATACATACATATATTCATGTATGCATATGAAAGAGTTGGCCATAACTGTATACAGCAAATACATAGTAGATTTTGCCTGCATGATTGTACTGTTTATGACACTCTCTCTGATTTTATTCTCAAAGTTCGGTAGATGTATTTACCACAGCTAACGCAACTAATACAATTTTGGGTTTGCAACATTTACTAAAGATAAATCTCTACAGATGGCGTTTACAACGCTGTCTGCGATTATTCATTAATGCATCCAGTTACATACACTTTATTTAAATTAGAAACGAAGAAGTAGAGGTTGCTGATTTTACATTTATACTTTTCTGTTGGTAATTATGATAATATATATGCATATGAAGATTGGAAAAACTTTGGCGGTTGTTGTAGAACAAACAAAATAGCTCAAATCCCAACTCCAAAACACGACACTTTAGTTGTCCGAAGGCGTTGGGGATTCAGCTATTTTATTTGTTCTAATATGTATGCATGATTATTTGATTATACGCATTGAATATTTATTCCTTACCTGCAAATTTAACAAAAGTTGTTGAAAGTGTGGCATAACACGGTTTCCTGAACTTGAAGTGCCTTCTAAAACACCCGCTTCGGAATTCGATAAAGCGGGCGTGTTTAAAGACACATCCTGGCAGCGTAAAAAGGGGAGACTTGATAAATAAGGTACTGTTGCATAGTATTCATAAATTCATATTCAGGTCACTGGAACACAGTTGGTATATCTAAATTGTTTATTTAAAACTGCAAGGCAACACTTATTTACCTACTGTGTTAGTAAGTCAATTAGCAACAGTTTAAATAGCGGAATCAATGATTATAATGTAGAAGAAGAAGTCGTCAGTCGACAGTCCAATTCAAGATCATGATGATGCAGGGTGGTGAGACGACTTACCGTCTTCACTCACCCTGTGATATTTCCACGTTCCCCAATTATCTAATAACGTTCGTCGCTGTCTAACATGGTGGGGTAGTTATATTGCCAAATAAACATATATACCCAATTCTTCATAACATGGTGGAAAATTCGCTTCATTTTAACATGTTCCCTGTACGTCCACCATTTATTTATTTAGCAATATAACTACCGCACCATGTTATACATATTGGGGAACATAGAAATGGTAGAGGACAATCACAAGGTGAGTGAAAACGATAAGCCGTCTCACCACCCTGTATTATCATGATCTTGAATTCGACCCTCGACTGACGACTTCTCCTTCTTCTTCATTATAATTATTGTACGGCTATTTAAACAGCTGCTAATTGACCTACTAATACAGTAGGCAAGTTGGTTTTACTTTTCAGTTTCAAATAAACAATTTAGATGTTCCAGCTCTATACGAGTGACCTGAATATGAATTTGACAGTACAAATAACAAGTACGAACTTGCTTTATTAATCGACTTATGAGTTTTTTAGTATCTAAATATACCAAGAATTCCTTGATACATTTGAACAGACTTGCATGTGAATTATTCGTACAAGTATTTTATAATGCATTCTGACAAAACCCTTTTGAGAATGTTGAACCCATAAATTTGGTAGGTACATACCCTATAATCGAAATTCGTGTTGATGTCGTCGGGAGGCAAGCCATTCAGACTGTTACTGCTAATGGGTTTTTCACTAACTGACAAATATGTCGGAGCTTTGCTCTTGCTCGTGGAAGTTTTCCTAACTAGTTCCGTTTGACCTTCATGGGATAGATCCTCATTCCAATCGGGAACCATAGTCGGATATCTGGACAATCCAATTTGGCGTCCCTGTTTCTCCATGTACTTTTGCGAATGTTTCTGTATTTCTTCTGACGACGGAAATTCTCCTGGTCTAGGTTT